AAAAAAAAAAAAAAAAAAAAAAAAAAAAAAAAAAAAAAAAAAAAAAAAAAAAAAAAAAAAAAAAAAAAAAAAAAAAAAAAAAAAAAAAAAAAAAAAAAAAAAAAAAAAAAAAAAAAAAAAAAAAAAAAAAAAAAAAAAAAAAAAAAAAAAAAAAAAAAAAGTAACAACAACAAAAAGACACACACAAACCCCCCCCACACACACACACACAAAACCAACCAAACAGCAACAAAAATCCAAATCTTGTTAGTAAAAGATCAGCAATGCTAGACAAAATATGTACTTTCTTGGCATAAATGAAGTTTAGCAGAATTTGTACAAATTTGGAAGGTGGCACAAAAAATCTGACAAAGATCCAAAAAATAAAATAGTGGGAAAAGAGACAGGAGATAGAACCCTGCCCTTGGAGACAACCAAAACTAAACCAACCCAAAACCTTAAACAGCATGAACTCAACATGGAAAGTTATTTGAAATTAGGGCTCAAGTGCTTTAAAACCAAGACAAGTATAGCAGAGAAATACCACTTTTAAAATTCTGGTAAAATATGTCTCAACCAGTCAGGTTGTTTAACTAGTGTGGGAATAAGGTACAAACTAAATGGAAAGCAAATACCAAATTAAATTGATACCTAAAAACTGCTCAGCCTCAAAATATTCCTTAATCTTGCAAGAATCAGCTGAAGCAAATATCTCCATTTCAATGAATATACCTTTTCTATCTCTGTTTCTAAAACAACACAAAATATAATTAATATTATTTCAAGCTAATAAAGCTTGGAAATGGAAAAATCCAAAATTTAGAACAAAGCAGGAAATATTTCCCAGACTACATATCTAATGTTGCTCTGAATTTTAAAATGGCATATGAAGAAACAAACAGTGAAGATTCTTTCAACTACACCCTGGGCTGCTTTAGGAAAAGTACTGCCTGCAGATTGAGGGACATGATCCTTCTCTACTCTACACTGCTGAAACATATCTGAAATGCTGCACTAGTTCCAGACTCCCCTGTATGACACAGACACACTGGAGTGAGACCAGCAAAGGGCTGCAAAGACATTTAAGGGTTTGAAGCATCTGATACCTGAGCAAAGGCTGAGAGAGCTGGGACTATTCATCATGGAGAAGACTCAGGGTGCAGTGGGAGGAGTCTTATCATTATATTAAATGCCTGAGGGAAGGAGAGACACTGAGCCAGTCTTCCCATTTCTGCCCACTAAGAAGTTAACATACAATGGGCACAAACCTGACATCTGAACACAAGGAGAAACTTCCTTACTCCAAGGGGGGGGGGGGGGGTCAAACACTGGAACAGGTCCCAGAGAGGATTCAGTCTTTGTCCTTGGAGATACTCAAAACTTACTGAACATTGCCACAAAGTAATCTGCTGTAGGTAATACTGAGCACTGGGGTTGGACTAGACTATTTCCAGAGGTCCCTGCCAATCTCAACCACCCCACCATTCAGTGGAGATAAATCAAAAGTACACAACAAATGAATATGCAGAAAGTGCATGTGTATATACTTACACATGTTAGTTACCTCCTACAATTGCAATGAACAGCTTGTAACATGAGATATGAGAAATCATTATGAGCTGTGTGTGGTTGAGCAAGAATTAAGAGCTAATGGTCTCACGGGTTTCAGCTTTGTGTTCTTAGGAATTCCTTTCTGATTCAATTTGCATGAAACAGCCAAAATTTATCATCATGAAACTGTCAAAACCATCAGGGCCACAGCCATGACAAATTTGTGAAGGTTGACAACACATGATATTACTCATTCTATTGACAACCACTCAAAATTTTAAACATACTAAAACACCTTCAAGCTGGTTAAAATCACCCTGCAGATGAATAAAATCTTATATAGTATGTTTCCATACATGATAGCATACACTTAATATGCGGGCCTTCCTCATCCAAAGACACAATACCAAAACAATGCCCAATCAACAGGTACCACAAAATATCCAAATTCAGACTGCACAAATTTATTTCAGCACTTGTGCATCAAACTCCAGTCTCTCATAAAAAAAATGTGGAGAAAATAAAGACGAAACAAGTTGCCTTGCTCTCTCCTACTTCTCCAAGGTAGTATCATCTATATCTAAGTTTCTGTCCAGTATGGTCTTGGCTAAATTCTTTAAAAAAAAAAAAAAAAAAAAAAAACACAAAAAAATACCCACCAAAAAACCTATGATGAATATCCACAACCTCCCTAAAGATAAATTCACCTTACTAGAGAACCTTATTTAGCATCCCAGTGGACATCAACACTGTCAGACCTCCTGCCTTTTGCGTAGCTTTCCCTGGCTGTGGTCCAGTTGAAGGCAAGGAAGAGGAAGTCTCCCACATCAAAGTTCATGTTCTCATCTTTGTGCAAGCTGACTCATTAGAGCACACTCTCTAGCAACTACAGAGAAACCACATCCATCAGTATTACTGACAATTAAACAACCCTCATTGCCACTGTATGAGTATTTTGGCTGTAAACAGAAATCAAATCCAACGTCAAACTATCCTTTCCAGAAGTTCTGCCACAGTACTTTACTTTCCAACACAATACAAAGTTTATGCCCTTTCACTCTGTAACATCTCATCCCACACCTGGAGACTGCTTTTACATCTTTATTGGTCTGTTGTAGACTCAGAAAACTACTTTTTTCCTGTCCATATTGGCACATTTTCTTCCAGACTTCTGAACATTCTTCTATTACTTTGCCCTGGAAGATTCTCCCATGCGCTCAAACCATTTCTTACATGTAAAGCACAAAATAAATGAAGACCAAAAAAAGTAGAGTGGAATTATTAGAGTGGGACAGTTGAAATATGTCCCTTCTAACCATATATCCCAGGAGAATGACTATCCTTATTGCAACTGCACAGTGCTATTGACACATGTTCATGTTATGACTCACCTAAAAATTTCGGATTCTTTTTTCTACAATTATTGTTATTTTGTATTTACGTAGAGAAGGATTTAATCTAAGCACGATCCTTTTCATTTTTAATTCTAAATGGTATTATCCCTTTTATGTTATTTCTTTAATTTTTCTAACCATTTTAAAATATAAATTTATTCTTCACAGAACATAAATCATCTCCCAGCCTAGTACTCTCTGTAAAATTAATAAATGTACTTTCTATGGCACTGGTATCGTGACCTTAACAAAGCAAAGATGTGGTGAGTTGACCCTGGGCAGATGCCAGGTACCCACCACAACTACTGTACCACTCCCTTCCTGAATGGAGGAGAGAAAATATAACTAAAGACTCGACATGAAAGTACAGGGAGAAATCACTCAGCAATTACAGTTGGAGCAAAAGAGACTCAACTTGGGGAGATTAATTTAATATATTGCCAATTAGAGTAAGTCAGAGTAGGATATTTAGAAATAAAACAAAATCTTAAGACACCTTCCCCCCACCCTTCCCTTCTCCCCAGGTTCAACTCCTCTCCCAAATTTCCTGTCTCCTCCTCCCACAGGTCCAGGGGAATGGGGCCTGTGGGTAGTTCAAGACTCACTATTTCTGCCACTCCTTTCTGCTCTGGGGGAGGACTCCTCACCTTCTTCTCCTAGCATGGGAGGACTCCCATGGGACACAGTGCTTCTCAAACTTCTCAAACACAGGTCCTTCCCACAGGCTGCAGTTCTTCATGAACTGCTCTAGCGTGGGTCCCTTCAATGGGATGCACTCCTTCACGAACAGACCACTCCATTGTGGCTCCCCCACAGCATCACAAGTCCTGCCAGAAAACCTTCTCCAGCATGGCCTTCTCTCTCCACAGGTGCTGCCAGAAGCCTCTTTCAGCAGAGGCTTCCCTTAGTATCACAGCCTCCTTTGGGCACTCTCCTGCTCCACTGTGAATCGCCGTGGGTTGTAAGGGTACAGCCTTGGCCAGCAGCAGGTCAACCTTGGAGCTGGCTGGCACTGGCTCTACTGGACATGTAGGAAGCTTCTGGCAGCTTCTCACATAAGCCACACCTGAAGCCCCTCCACTACAAAAACCTTGACACACAAATCCAGTATAGAAGGTATGATCACATCTGGGTTTCTTCAACTGCACTTCTGCCTTTGTCATTGCATTGAATGAAGGTGCTCACTTAAGGAGCAATTCAGTATTTTGTCTGACCTTCCTCCCTTGAGCCTTAAGTATGACTCCAATGTTTCTCCCAGCCTCAGTTCTCCTCTCCCATACTTTAGTGCCTCTCAATCATCTCTCCTATTTCCTTCACAAGCTTCTAGTTTCACTTGACCTCATTTGACCCTGAGAGCTTCTGCAGCCATTCCATTCCCTCCCCGAGCTGTCCTCATTCGTCCCTTCATTCAAGACCTTTCACAGAGATGCTGACAACTCAACTCCTTGTCCCAAACCTCCTCTCGTCCACACTGCTCCAGTCCTCTGCTTTCATTCACCCTGCCATCATAGAACAATATAATAAAACCATAACAATAAAATTCAAAATAAATAAAATAATTATAAAGGCCTTGAGCACTTTCCTTAGACCACACTCCCTGTTGTCCACTGCCCCGGTCACTCTAACCACAGTCGTGTGGTGGAACAAGCACAGTCAGTTATTCTATGGTGCTGGTAGGCATGTCCAAACAACAAAAAACAACAAAAAAAGTGCAGCAAATCTTGTACAGGTAGAATCACTTCAGATTCTTAGATACTAAAACTGAAGTTGATACCTGACCCAAAAGTAGACTTTATGAACTATCTTGTTTCTTATCCAAAACACAGAGAAACCATATCACCATGTGTACAGTACAATATAGATCTATCCACATCTTTGGAGATCAAAACACCTGAAAAAGGTGTTATCAGAACAAGCTGCTTCGCAAGTTGTCAAATTTTGAAAATACGCAACAGTAGTTACTCCACAATTTCTGCAGGCTCCACTCCCAACATTTGACCAACAAATTTCAGGTGGGGGAGGTATATCTACCACCATTTGATGTAAAGCAAAACTTAAAATTTAGTTATCTCCTGGCCTATACTGCTATAGAAGAGCAGATAAATGAACTTAAGAACAAGCAAAGAAAAAATACTATATTATCTGCATCGTGCTTCTTTTCTAGAAAGCTATATAGCTTTATTTGTGCAGGAGTGGTGAACTTCCTTGTATTCCTGTTAGTAGTAACCTCTAAAGATCACGATTCTCTGGAATTTTCTGAACTTTGTTCTTAAAAATATTTTCTCTGGACATCACTGGGTAGGCAAAATCTCAGCTTCTCTAAAGGAATGCACTATTAGCTTTGAAAAATTCAGCGTCTGTCTGAAACAAACCAGGCAATAGTTTTATCTCTCATCACAAGAAAATGCAGGTATAAGCTGATATCCTTAAGGAACTGGACTTCCCATCTCAGCATATTTCTGTTCCTCCCCTCCTCCTTCAACTAACAACCTCACGTAGGTAAAAATTCAAGCTTCTGGTTATTTTGGTGTAGTCCTCTCATAATTATTCCTTAGGGAGTTATCCTAATTTTTATGACTACTTAAACACTCACTAGAAAGAAAGACAAGGAAAATAGGACTAACAGAACAAAGAATGAAGAGAAAAAAAATTTTAAAAATCTTTAATTGCCCAAAGAATTATGTTGGGAAGATAATGAAGAAGAACTTACAGCTCTTCTGCAGGAACGTACATTCAACCTATTTGATATTAGTGAAGTTGGTGGGATGATTCACTTGAATGTAATGCTAGAATTCAAGAGCTATAACCTATTTAGAAATAGCAACAATGGAGAAACAATGGAGAACAAATGGTACTGTGTGCCAAAAATGTCACTGTCTGTTTCTGACTCACTGACAACAGAAAATCATGTCTTAATAAAGAAAGTACAAGTCAAGACACTAGCTGGGGTTTGCTACAGATACAAAATCTCACACAGCAAGGTGGTTAAGCATCTATTGCTTCTTTTTGGAAATAAAGGTTTCATTATCACAGTGGACAAAACACCAAGTGAAATAACCTGGAGCTTTCATGCTGCCATTATCAGAACGTGCTCAAAGTTTCTAAAAATTGAGGACAATTTCTTTCACTGAGAAATGTTAAATCCAAGCCAAGGGAAAGCTATATTCGACTTCATCCAGACAGATAACAAGCACCCCACTGTTTCACAGAGAACTAACACAGAAAAAATACCATTCCTGTCCCCAGGTCTTAGAATCAAAGCACATACTCCCAAACACATCTTTGCAACTTTAGCAGTACCACCTACTATCCATGCTGTCCCTTCACCTAACAGAACTGTTTGTCACAATGCATGGCAAACCAGCTCAGAGAATCCTGAGTTTAACCAAAATGGGGACCTAATCTGAATTAAAATTGCCTTCCTTTTTTTTTTTTTTTCTGTGTGTGTGTGTGTGTGTGCGTGTTTGTTTTTTTGTTAAGAGTACACTTTTAACTTATCAATTCTCTATTTCGTTCATTATCTGGTGACAGAACAGTGACAC